AACCTAGCAACTTGCAATCCTAAAGCAGGCCAAAAATCAAAGCTGTACATGTTGCAATTGTCTGGCTTTCACTGTGTAGAGAAATCTGAGAAATGTTCTCTTTCTCCCAAAATATGTCACTGAATTAGGTAAATGGAGAAGAGCAAAATTTATTATATAAAATTTGTATGTACAGATCTGTTTTACTGATTTAATACTGTCTTAATACTGCCTTGGGGATATTCCAGGCAGGGGTTAGGCGAGTGCTTTGCATAGTTCAGCTCATGTATATCTCATTAACTTTTATTTAAGTGGCTCTATTGCTCTAACTTTTCATTAGTCACTGCAGCTAATTTAACTTCTGCAAAAATTCATTAATGCTATTTTCTGTCTCTTCCACTTAAATGTTCTTACAGTCTGATTTGATCTCAAAGGACTTGGAGCAGGTTTTTAAATCTTAAGACCACAAGCAAAATGTCTTCACATGTAACCTCAGAAGTCTGATACAGAAAGTAAAATATTGGATTTCAGGCAAATTGTCAGCATGACTTTCTACCATGAATTGAAATGAGATGAGAAAATCATTTCCTTATTGCTTTGGTCTGAGATCAGTAATGGGGTTGGTAAGGAGTGCTAGCAGAACCCTTTTACTTTCACATGCCTAGAGAGAGTCACATCTGACCCTTTGTCTTCCATCTTCTCTCTTGCTCCTGGTTCAGAGCCCTGTTGCCACTGACCTTCCTTCCACATTTACATCAGCATTAAACCTCCTGCTGCTACTGCAGCTGCGCAAGCAAAGAAGTAGTTCGTAAACCGCTCAGTTCCTTTATGGTTGCCACCAGAAAAGCTGCACCTCATCCCTTTCTGTTAGGCAGTTGGAAAAAGACAGAGCAGAACATTACAGACTGTATGGGGTAGAATGAGAAAACCCTGTGCCTGTTCATCCTGCCAGGGTGCTAGGAGCTGCAGCAAGTTTGGAGCAATAATATCAGAAACTGCCGCAACCTGAGACAGAAGGATCTATAGTTCAGGGGGGCCAGGTGGATGGCACTAATGAGCCCTTCCTGGTACCAGATGAGCCAGTGTGGTGAAATGCTTGATCTGCAACTCAGAAGATCTGGGTTCTTTTCTCCACTCAGCCAGTAAGGTCACTGGGTGACATTGGACCAGTCATGCACTCTCAGCCGAACTGAACTCACAAGATTATAGTGAGGGTAAAATGGAGAAGAGGATACCTATGTAAACTGCCTTTCAAGATGACAAAGGGATGCATATAAATATAGCAATGACTTTTCATTTTAGTATCTCAGCAGACTCCATCACAGTTTAGAGTTTTGGGCTTCAGCTTCAAATACTGGAATAAGTAACTCTTCAGCCAAAGCTAGCATGGCCAGTGGTCATGAATTCTGCCTGTTTCATTCCACAAAGTATGGGGAGCACCAGGTTGGGGAAGGCTTATTTACGTAGGCTGACCAAGAAACATTCCAGTATGTAGCAAGGCAGACAGGAGCAGACTGGAGATAGCAATGCAAATGAATGTATTTAGCAGCTATCCTAATGATGCCCTTGAATCATATTAACTGGATTTAAATGACAAGACTTAATGCTGCATATTAAGAATGGTGGCTGTATTCACCACAGCCTCATTATAGGTTCAGTCTCTGAACCCATACAACTGACTTAAATAACCAAGAGTAATCTGGTATGCCACTTGCACAGCCCTGAAAGAATTGCTCCAATTAATTCCTAGAGAGTTAGGGTAAAGCATTGCACTTAGACCAGAATGGATGCAGCAGAGAGCAAAGGCTATTGATACACAACTAGCAATTAACATATCATGTGGAAGGAGTGGATGTCTGGCTTCATATCCAACTAGGCATAGAAATATTAAGCGTGGGTGAGAAAACATTTTATCCTAGTCCTCCTCTAGTATTGGGATTGAACTGAGCTGTAGAAAAAATACCTGAAGCAACAGGGAGTTTAATAGGCAAGGGTTATGCTCTCCTCATTTTCCACTTTATATGTGATACAGCAAATAGTGATCCAAGCATTGATTTCCGGTTCCAGATCAGAACTGGGAATCTCCAGTATCCTGTGGATCTCTAGCTGTTGTTTAGGAGCCATAGGATTGCTTTGTAAAATGCATCAATGAACATGTTCCCACCTGGCTAACTCACATTTTTTTTTCAAAAAGGCAAAAGAGCCACTAGAAAATCTTTAAAGCTTTTAGAAAGATATTGAACAATTCTTATGAAGTTGGATATCAAGGAAAGCCTGTTGGGGACTAACAGATCATAAAAGACAACAGAGAAAACAGTCTTTGTTGTTGTTTGTTCTCATCTTTTAATGGTGGAAAACAGACTCCTTTGCTGTGGGGGGAGGGGGGGAAAGACGAAAGGGATATCCTGTTGCCCTGCATCTAATTTTTGAGCTTATTTACTCGATACATTAAAAACAAACTTAGCAGATGAACAACTTGTGAATTAGTGTTTCTCAATATTAATGTGGGGTTTTCTTTTCACAAAATATTACCCCATTAATCAATCTCTGACTGATACACAGAAATACATTAGAAGGCTGATTGCTATGGAAATTAGTAGTTTTAAAATCAGTTTGTTGCATATGGACAGCATTTCTGTGATTACTTCAATGGGATGTGAAGATTACTACTGGAAGGCAGACTAGAGGAAACCACCCAGAGAGCTTCGGCTACGGGTGGTATAGAAATTAAATAAATAAATGAGGAAACTCAAGGCAGGACTAAAAATGTTTTCTGATTTGGTGACATAAATCTTATAAAAATAATTCCAGTATGTGTGTGAGCCTGTTGCAGACAGAAAACCTCCCTGCTAGACTCAATGGATATTTGACTGAGCTATAATTCAAGCCTACTTTTCACCCTACTTTAGTCTTTCCTGCCATTAAAATACCCGGAGTTCTTTGCACATGGTGAGACGTTTTAATTCGTATTGGTATGAATATTTTATCCCATGAACATTTACTTTACCTGTCATAGATATCATCTGAATTAATTGTTATAAAGACTTTTTAAAATCCACTATTTAAAGTGTTTTTCTTGTAAATAGCCCCACTAATTAGGTAGACTACTAATAGTCTAATAATTAGATAAGCCAGACAGACAGACATGAGACATCTCAATATAAAGCAGCTAATGATCATAATGTTCACGTGCTTTTTGGAATTATTCTGATAAAAGCACATCCTCTTTTTAAATTCTTTCTCATTCACCTATTACTGTTTGAGCAAATCATCTAACTGTTGCAGATTATCATATCTTGATTGCATATAATGTAACTAAATAGCATGATTAAAGAGCTTTTTGCAACTACATTCTAAGACTTTGAACTTAAAAACATTCCTTAGAACTTACCTACCTATTGTTGCACATACCTAAACAATCCGCACCAATAACGTGACTGGAAAATGACATTCCTGGAATTGTATAGTAGCAGCCATTGCATAGTTCTGGTTAGGCTGCAGGGGTCCCATCCATATGCAACAGGAGCAAATTGTGGTGCATTCTGAAGCCATTTTTAATATTCACCTTCTGATCAGGCCAATAAGATTTTGCAAAATAACATCCAAATCTGGATAGTATAGGTTAATTGTGGGCCAAACAATCCTTGGCACAGTATTTCAACCTAAAAATCATCTCATTGTTTCCTGCTGCTACATGTGAACTGGCTCATTAGGTAATATATAAAAACCTAAAATTCTGCACCTTGTCTTCCCATTTATTTCAGTCTTGAAACCTGCTCTGATCATACTGCATAGAATTCATTATGCATAGAGAGTCAGTGTGGTGTAGTGGTTAAGAGCGTGGGACTGGGACTCAGACGATCTGGGTTCTAGTCCCCACTCAGCCATGGAGCCAACTGGGTGACTTTGGGCCAGTCACAGGCTCTCAGCCCAACCTACCTCACAGGGTTGTTGTTGTGGGGATAAGATGGAGGAGGAGAATGATGTAAGCTGCCTTGAGCCCTTTGTAGGAAAAAAGGCAGGATATAAATCGAAAAATAAATAAATTCCCCTTACTGGAATATCTTTGGGCAGAGAAACATTGGTGTATCAGGTCTACGTTTCCAGAGTGATGTCAATCATCATGTGCTAGACCTAGAAGGAAAAAAAAATAACACAAAGAAGTCTGCTATTTCCCAAAGTGTAAACATTGTCTCTTTGACTAGTTTTCTGACTTTTTAAAAGTCTTAAGAATGTCTGGAACATTACACTTTGGCCATATTTACCAATTGTGTTATTGATATACTTTTCAGTATTTTGCCATGCTCGGCATTTTAAAATGAGGACTTGCATATGTCCTGACTGATTTTATAATGAATTGTTGTGCATTGCTCAGAGATGTTTGGCTATTGGACAATATAGAAAATATGAAAATAACATAATAATAATATGTATTATTATTATTATTATTATTATTATTATTATTCATCAGAGGACATGTTCAGCAACCCCTTTTTTCTGTAAGATACATTCCTGCCTGCAGTTAGTGGGGACATCTGAGCAGAAGTGCAGGAGCATTTAAGTAGAGAGTTTAATATCATCTGCCTGCTCCTGGCTGCCATTAAATAGTCTTCCTCCAGTCTGTGTGAAAAACAAACAAACATGCTTGTTATGCTTCATTTATATTCTGAAATGCTGCTCACTATTAGGAGGAAGACTCTGCACATAGTGACAAACATAAAATAACCCATTTTATGACTTTCAGACTTTACTAAGGATCAGCTTTCTATGTGTTGGAGGAGTGCCGTAATACGTCTGAGTTACACGAGTAACTGAGCAAGTCAGTGAGCTTTACAAGTAGCTGGGTGTGTGAGTGTGTGTAAGAGGGAAGAGAACAATGAAGGATTTTACTTCAAAATGAGATTGAGTAGTTCCACCTAAAATTAAGTGTTCCATGTAAACAAGCATGTTCTCATTTAACCGTGTCTGTTCTTGTTCTGTGAAAGCCCTAAACTAAGAGGTAATATTGTGTCTCCAAACAGTGATTCTCTGGAGCCAACACAGCTTGGTGCATATAGTGGTGCCACAGTAAGGAGCATGCCTGAAAATGGCACAGATAAGCCAGTTTCTGCCAGTACAGCATCTGGACCAGCCCTCAGGCCAACAGGACCTCAGTATGCTGTCAAAACTTCAGGCTGGCAACCTTCTCATCAAGCAGGTAAATCGACCAGTGATTACTTTCGTTTGTTCATTAAGGGATACCAAAGCTTTTATATGTGTATAAGTTCACATTGTATCAGTTGCCTTCCTTTGCTTGTATTTAAGAAAATTATGTAATAAAACTATGACTTTTTTGTATAAAATACAAAATAAGCATCATATCAGAATAAATAACTCATCCCATCCATTTTTCTGCAGTAAGTAGAAGCACCTTCATGACTGGTATTGCTTTCAGAATCATAAAGCCATGCCCTCTTATTCTAGAAGTATTTGATTGTATATATTAGATTTATATGCCACCTTTTTCTTACAAAGAACTCACATTTTATTGTTGCCTCTTGAGGAGCCTTTTCATATATTGCCTGAGTGTGTAGATCAAATGCACAGTGCAGCACATGAAGAAGCCTTTCCCGACACACCCCATGGCATACATCCTCGTAATGTGAACTGGGACTTGTAGTTACTGTGCAAAAGGTATGGCAGATTTATATAAGAATACCTACAGGTGTGGCTTAATATAATGTATGATTAAGCCCAGCCCCTTTGTAAAGGCATTTCAAGAAGGCATTACAGGCACAGGAACTGGAGTTAGGTGTCTTATGATGTCTTCGATACCCCGAAAGCCATTGTGAAACTGTAGGAGGAGGTACTAGAGTCCAGGGCTGGGTGTCAAATGAGGATGGAGGGTAATCCAGTAAAGGTTCTGCCCCAACATTAGGGCAGGGTTAGTATGACTAGGTGGAACAGGAGGGCTGTAACCATTTCCTGTTAGGCTTGGTATCAGCTTTCTTTCTCTGGGCTGCTTTATTTACACAAACCAGCTATTGCATCGTGAATGCAGCTCAACTCATTTATAGCCATTTTTTGTAACCTGATCTAAAGCCTAGCCTGAACAAGCCTGGCTCGTTTGTGTCTTCCTCACATCATTCCATCATGTCTTCAGTGTGGCAAATATGGCCTAGCAGCTGCTGTTTCATAGACTTCAGCTACCCACATACCTCCTCACCAGCCCAATTCTTATTAAAAATGTGAAGTGCAGATACATCAATGCAGGTTTGGGCCTGGTCAGTGACTGGATGAAAGATCACTGGGGAAGCCCAAGAATGCCACTTTGAGTCCCATAGTGAGAGAACGCTGTAATGTGTGTGTGAGCGAGAGTCTGTGCACGTGTAAATGGTAAATGCATCGTCTAGAAAAGAGCATGAGCTGAAGGTTAACTTCTGCATTCTGGCACATGGAGAATCCATTTGCCTGATCTACGTGTACATGCCGGCCTTTAATCAAATGAAACTGGCGTTTTTTTCCATAATTGTCAAGTGCCAATGTTTCCCTAGTCAGGGCTCCACCAGCACATTTTAATCTTTCCATAACAGCATAATACAATTTTTAGCTGCTTTAAAGTGTATATTACATACTGTAATAATTTTTGTTTGTCACAGAGACTGGATATTGTTGTGCCATCATTCCTCATAGATCTGTAATGTTCACAAATGCACTTGTGCTTTATTTCATTTCCAAACTGTCATCCCAGTTGGATTTTATGTGTTTTGAAAGGGATTAATCAAGGGTATGGAGTTGCAGCCATTCTTGTGAGCTTCTTTTACGAAAAAAGTGTCTTGCAGTATAAAGCTTTTCATGCCACCTAGCTCAAACAACTTCTGGATGAACACTTTCCCCTCTTAAGATATGGCCTATATTAAGGCAAATGTTATGGCAAATGTTTTCATATTCTATCATCTTTTCAAGAAAAACACTGAGATAAGTTTGAAAGCCATATACCATGAAAGGCTATCTGTACAAATATGAGGTCAAGTTAAAATAATTTCCTATGTCCCTTCTCAGAGCACCCCTGCATTCTGAGGCAAAATGGGTGAGAACCAGGGACAGGGCATTCTTAATTAAGATGCATCCTTCTCTTAAGTAATCTCCCCATCAAGTTTCACCTGGAACAAGTTTTATGTTGCCAGGTGAAAATCTACAGAGAGAGCATTCTGGTGTCAGTTGAGGACTTGTTCTTGTGTTCCAGGCCTTAGATCTTTCCACTGTTGGTTGCTTTTAATGCCTTCTACTTCTTTGCATGAAATTACTTTATTGTATTTGTTGCATTGTTTTTACTTTTTTGTGTTTATCGTAAGCCACCCTGGTAGTGATTGGGGAGGTACAGATGTGTTAAATAAATATATATTTACAAGGACAAGCAATTGTTTTGGCTGCACGGCCTTTTCCAGTGGCTGGTAAAGGGACCCATGCTGTTGGGGTGTCTTTGTATTCTCTCTTTTGTGCTCATGCTCTCTCATTCTCGCTCTTTCTCACACACACGTGTGTGTGTGTATGAGCACATAATGGGGTAGATGATGCATGGAAATTTCTCGCTCTCCCCACACACCACCTTCTCCATTTATTATTATTATATTATTATTATTATATTATTATTATTATTATTATTACATTTCTATGCCGCCCCTTGCCGAAGCCTCGGGGTGGCTTACAACACAATAAAATACATTGAAATATAATAGCACATAATAAATTACCATTAAATACAAAAATACAAAAAATACATTGAGTTACAAACATAATAATATAAAATTAAAATTATCAGTATAAAATAAGTAAATAAATAATATAGGAGGAGAAAAGAGAAGGAAGAAGAAGTTGCCCTGGCCAGATCATATATTTTAACAATTAAAATGATGTTTAAATAAAAAGGTCTTTACCTGGCGCCGAAAAACCAGTAACGACGGTGCCAGGCGGACCTCTTTGGGGAGTGAATTCCATAGGTTGGGTGCCACCGCAGAGAAAGCCCTCCTCCGAGTACTTACTCTCCTAATTTCTTTCATGGAGGGTTCCCGGAGAAGGGACTCTCCCGCAGATCTCAAAGGGCGGTCGGGCATATACGGACGTAAGCGCTCGTTCAGGTAGCCCGGACCCAAGCCATTTAGGGCTTTATAGGTCATAATCAACAGCTTGAATTGGGCCGGGGCTTCAATGGGAAGCCAGTGAAGCTGACGGAGGACTGCAGTCATGTGAGCATAACGCCCCGTCCCCATCAGCAACCTGGCAGCTCTATTTTGCACCAATTGAAGTGTTCGGACCGTCTTCAGGGGAAGCCCCACGTAAAGCGCATTACAGAAGTCTAGGCGGGAAGTCACCAGCGCGTGTGTCACCGTCGCCAGGCAGTCGAACTCCAGGTAGGGGCGCAGCTGATTAATCAGCCGAAGCTGAAGGAAGGCGCTCCTCGCCACCACTGTCACCTGAGCTTCCAAAGAAAGCTCCGGGTCGAGGAGTACTCCTAAGCTGCGGACCTTATCCCTAAGAGGGAGTGTTGCACCATTCAGGACCAGGTCAACTCCACCCTCTCTGAAGCCCGATCCGCCAACCAACAGGACCTCCGTCTTGTCTGGGTTGAGTTTCAGTTTATTGGCCCTCATCCATTCCATTACCTCGGCCAAGCACCGGCTCAGCACAGCCACTGCCTCACCTGGATTAGTGGAAAATGAGAGGTAGAGCTGGGTATCATCAGCGTACTGATGATTCCGCAGCCCACACCTCCTGATGACCTCTCCCAGCGGTTTCATATAGATGTTAAATAGCAGAGGGGATAGAATGGAGCCCTGTGGTACTCCATGGCATAGCTGCCATGACGCAGAGACATGGTCCCCCAGCACTACCTTCTGGAATCGACCGTTGAGATAGGAGCGGAACCATTGCAAAGCAGTGCCTCCAACCCCCAATCCCGCTAGCCTATCCAGAAGGATACCATGGTCGATGGTATCGAAAGCCGCCGAGAGGTCCAGAAGAACCAACAGGGATGCACTCCCCCTGTCCTTCTCCCTGCACAGGTCATCGTACAGGGCGACCAAGGCAGATTCAGTACTGTACCTGGGTCTGAAGCCAGACTGAAAAGGATCCAGATAATCAGTTTCATCCAAGAGTGCTTGGAGTTGTCCCGCCACCACTCGCCCCAACACCTTGCCCAGAAACGGGATGTTGGCCACAGGTCTATAGTTAGTGGCCATCTCTGGATCCAGTGACGCTTTCTTCAGGACTGGTCGTATTACCGCCTCCTTTAAAGGGGCAGGCACTCGACCTTCCCTCAGAGAAGCATTAACCACTTCCAAGTTCCAGGTCCCAATCACGTGCTTGGAGTTATTTATTAACCATAAATAACTTTATTTATTAATTTAATTTAAACTGTACACCTCCAGCTCCACAAACAGGCTGTGGAAAGTGCAATTTGGAGCAGAAGAAAGGTGCATGGACACTCTTTCCCTGTACAATATCCACTTGCACGCTTGCCCCAGGTGACTGGTGTTGGGAACAGCTGGCTAGTGCAACCATCAGAGAGTCCCCAGCTGTTTCATAACCAAGCAGCTGGGCCAGAGAGAGGCACCTGTGGGTCCCAGAGATGGGGGCAGGGGGTTGTCTGAGATAACAGTCCATTGCGAGTGTTTAACTGCATCATGGCTACCTGGAATCAGCTGACTCTTCTCTGGGTAACAGCAGCAAAAATGCCCACAGCACTGATGGCCCTCCCACTGTGATCAAGAGACCTTTTGGACACACTGGGCCTTTTTTGAAATTTTAACTTTTCAGATCAAGAAATCAGGCTATCAAGATGGCTTTCATGATGCCCAATCCTGTCAAATCTCAGCAGCTAAGTGGTGTTAGGCCTGATTAGTATTTGGATGGAAGATTTGAGTCCTGCATTGAGCAGGGAATTGGACCTGATGATTTTCTAGGCCTCTTCCAACTGTATTATTCTACTCTATTGTATCCTTGCATTGATAGCTGCGGACAGGTCCTTCAGTATGCCCCTGTGGTTGTGAAACATTTCTTATTATCTTGTCTCTATTGATTTACAAATACTTTAAAATGTTAAAAGTATTTTTATCTCACTTGCACTATTGTGGAATAACTGTTCCCATAACTAAGCAGCTTGACAGAGGAGAGGGGTATGGGGGTACTTGTGGGGCAAAATAGCATGGCATCAGATGT